CTAATGAATTCTTGCACGATTTTGAAAAAAAATCTAATAATGGAGGAGGTGGAGACGTGCATTGTAGATACGACATCATTGCTTTAAATGCTTTTTAAAAAAAATTTTTATATATATACGTCATACTAATTAAAAATCATTAATTTAATTATTAAATAATAATAATAATAAACTTACATTTTAATATTCTTGGATAAAAATTTGTTTCTATTTTAGGTACTGCCGTTCTGCAATAACTATATTTTCCATCGGGACAACAAATTCTTGGTGTGCAGTCTTTATCAATTGTGCAATTTTGAACTGGAAGAACTTCAACAATTGGTTCTTTTGTTGGACACAATCTTGGTATTCCAGGAAGTAACGCTGGTTAAATGGTAAGTTTTTTTTTTAAAAATAATATTACAATAAAAAAATAAATAAAAATAATGATAGTCGACGAACGAAATCACGATTAGAATAATAATAATAATTTTTTGAATCGAATCGATTTTTTAAATCATCATCATCATTATTATTATTATTATCATGTAAATGATATAAAAATTTTTGAGTTTGTTTTGTTTTTACTTTTTGTTTAAATGTTTTTGCTTCTAAATTTTTTTTTTTTTTTTAATTAATGTTGGTTGAGTGGAATTCCTTGAAGCATTGAAGAAACAAACCTCCTATTAAAAAAAAAAATACCTTGTGGCTACTTTTTTTTTTTTTTTTTAAACTTTTGGTACGCCACAAAAATATTTTTCTGTTATTTTAATTATTTTCATTACAAAACAATTTTTTTTTCTATTGTTTCTCTCACTAATCCAATTAATTAACATACATAAAAAAAAAAAATTTATTTTTTTCATTTATTTATAATAGTGATAAAATTGATTGACGTGTCACTAGATCTTGTAAGACGCATCTCTCTCCCCCCCCTGTCTTTTTTATATAAAAAAAAAAAACAATTAATTTAAATTTAAATAATAACCTCCTTTATTCGGCTGAACAATTACGTAAACAAATCGAACATAAACAATTTAATTCTAATAAAAATAAAAAAAAAATCGAATTTTTTTACCATTGATAATATTATTATTATTATTATTATTATTATTATTATTATTATTATTATTATTATTATTATTATTATTTAATTCCGACAGTGTTCACAAAAAAAAAAAAAAAAAATTAAACGCACTTATTTATTTTTAATAACACCGATATATATCAGGTTTAATTAGAAATTAAAGGAGGTCAAAAAAAAAAAAAAAAAACCACTTGTCGATTTTTTTATATAAAAAAAAAAAAAGTTTATCACTTAAATAAAAAGTTTCCATGATAAAAAAAAAAAAAAAAAATTTTTTTCAAATTTTTCATAACGAAATAAAAAAAAAAATATTAACGGGTAGTAGTTAAATTGAAAAAATAATTTGTCTACGGTAAAAAAAAAAAAGTAACCCTTTTAATAGTAATAATAAGGAGGAGGATGATAAAAACAATTCAATTCGTTTATTATTATTATTATTATTTAAATACAATTAAAAGAAATTTATCAGAGCAAAATTAGTAGTAATAATAATTTTTTTTTTTATTGAATTTTTCAACCGTAACGTTATTTTTTTTTTTTTTATCTGTAACGTTTATTCTTTTTAAAATAATAATGATAATGTTGAGAAATTCATATTCGAATAATATTTTTTCTTCACGCACACGCACACGCATGCACTTTTGCAAAAAAAAATTTAATTTTTTTTATTAAATTAATTTTGAAATGAAATCATAAGAGAGTAACTAATTAAAAATTAACCGTAACGTTGAAAAACAATAGGAAAAAAATGTCGCAAAACCCGCCCCCACCCCCTCCCCTTCCCCCCTCAAAAAAAAAAAAATGTAATAAACTCACGTTCGTGTTGAGGTTCGGTTTTTCTTATTATTAATAATCCTTGCCTGCATATTTTCCAATTTTTTTCCCTACAACAAATTTGTCCAAATTCTTTACAATCTTCGTGTTTCGTACATTTATATGCAAAAACTGGAATCCTGTGATAATCCGTTGGACATATTAAACCGTTATAATTAACTATTTCATTTATCTTCTGCGCTAAATAAATAATAATAATAATAATAATAATAATAATAATATTTTAATTAACACATTAATAAAAAATTATTACAAGGTTGAATCCTAAATATAAATAAATAAATATATATTTTATTGCACTTTAATTTTTTAAATTATTATATACTTTGAATATTTATTAATTAATTTCACAATAACTAGTTACGACCCTGAAATTTATAATTTAAAAAAAAAAACGTTATACACGCGAACTTTGAAACGTTTGAATTTTTAAAAAAAAAACCGCCAAAATTACAAAATTTTTTTTTTATATTCTTCAAGAAAAAAAAAAATTAATTAAATTACAACGAATTCGGGATGAGGATGAAGGTGAGGAAGGGAGGGTGAGGAGGAGGAAAGGTTTTCGATCAAATAATATTAATAGTAATATATTTACCTTTACCGTAATCTTCATTGTAGACGTAATTATTAACGTCACCGGAAACGACAATTAAAAAAAATATGAAAAATAAAAAAAAATACATGACAAATATCAGTTAATTAATAATAATAATAATAATGTAAAGAAGAGGCACACACGCGCACACAAAATTAAATTAAATTAAATTAAATAAATAAAAGTCCGCGAGTACCGAAGCCATCCGGTTGTCGGTACTACCCAGATGAAAAAACACTTTTAACATTTACTATATAGAATCAAAGTAGTTTTGTATACACATAAGTAGGGCATCACATACAACTGCGGTTATTATAATACGTCCTTTTTCTTATAATTCTTTAAAAAAAAAATAATATATTTACTCCCCCCACTCAGTGAATGACCTCCTGAAAATTATTATTTTGTAATTAATAAAACCTTTTTTTTTTTTTTTTTGTTTTGAAGACCAAGGACGAATTTAAAAAATCCTTTTATTATTATTATTATTATTATTATTAATGAAATTTAATAATAAAAATTTTTTAAAATGTTGCAAAATTTATTTATTTTTTTTCTTTACATAATGTTAATGGAGACCAGTTTTTTTTTTTTTTTTTTGCAAAAAATATTATCGGTGTAAAAGGGAGCTTGAGGGGGCTTGAGGAGGCTTGAGGGGGCTTGAATTTTTCTATTCGACATTCGGCTTTTAATACACGACGATACCATTTTAGTAAAAAAAAAAAAAAAATGGATGGAAGAATTTAAATAAATGTTTAATCGATAAATAAAAATTTTTTTATTATGTAATTATAATATAACCTGATAATCATTTTTTTTTAACTAACACGATTTGTTTTGATTTTTTTTCTTTTTTTTTTTTCATCTTATCATTTCCTAATAATGAAGATTTAATAAAACCTGAAATAATATTAATAATAATAATAATAATCTCGTGCGATAAATTTTTTTTACGTATCGATTAATAAAAAATATTATTATTATCGTATTTTTTTTTCTTTTTTTTTCTTTTTTTTTGATAATCAATCAATCACATGATGATGATGATGATGATGATGTTCATCGAATCCTTACGTATTTCCTTAATTATTATTATTATTATTATTATTATTGTAATTAATTTTATTTAAATTTATTATTATTATTATTAATCCGAAGAAAAAATTACCGAAAAAACTTTTCTTTTTTTCTCTTTTAAATGTTTTTATACCCTTGACCAACTTTAATTTAAAATGTTATTTCTCTCTCTCTCTCTCTCTCTCTCTCTCTTTCACAAATTATCATTATTATTTATACGCAAATTTATTTTCTTTTTATAAATAAAGGACAACAAAATTATTTGTCACGAATTACTTAAAAAAAAAAAAAAAGAAAGGTGATTTTTTCATGATGATGATGATGATGATGATATCATTTGAAAAATTGATTAAAGTGAAAAAAAAAAAAAATTTCATTCATAATAATAATAATGATAATATCATCAAAGTGTAAAAAATTAAATAAAAAAAAATACATGTTAATAATAATAATGTTTAAAAGTTTGCAAAAAAAAAAAAAAAAAAAAAATGGTAAGCATGCATTACCATTTATATAAAAATCATTATATAATAAAAAAAATGTTATTTAAATTTATTATTATTATTATTGTTTTTGTTCAAACAACTTTTCACGTGGAAATACTAATTATTAATTCTTTTTTTTTTATGTTTTGATGTTGCAAAAAAAAAAAAAAGGAAAATAAATAAATTTTTTTTTTAAAACAAAATTTTTCCGCGTTTTTTTTCCAAAAACTCTACAACCCCCCTCTCTCTCTCCCGCCCGCCCCTCCCGCCTCCTTTTTTATAACAAATATTACATAGATATATGTAAATAAATAATTTTTTCTATTAATAAAAAATAAAAATGAAAACTCTATCGAATATAATGATTTGAAAAAAAGGGGAAAATTTTTTTTTTTAATTATATAATAAATACCAATGAGACATAAAATACAATAATAATAATAATAATAAATAGTGGTGAGGTATCGTTATAAAAATAAAAAACCGAAAAAAACTAATTTTTTTTTTTTTTTTTTTTACTCGCCTACATAAAATAAATATAAAATTATATAAATAAAAAATTTATTATTATTATTATTATCGACCACATTTTTTTTTCTTTTTCCCACAAGTTTTTAATTATGTGATATAATTTTAAACCGAGTTTAAATTATTTAAATTTTTTTTTTTTTTTAAAACCAACTTAAGGTTTATCATTTTTGTTTTTTTTTTTTGCTTTAAATAGTCGAAAATTTTGACAAACTTTATTATTGTGTAATAAGAAAACTTTTTTTTTTTTTTTTTTGCAATTTTGAAGGTTAACGTCTACCTGAAGAAAGTTTTTTTTTTTATTAAAATTATACACGTTGATTTTTTTGTCACGTTATTATTAAATCCCTCCTTCTTCTGTCTTACTCAATATGATAATTAACTAATAATTTTGGTTTTTTTAACCGAAAAATGATCCTTTTTTTGAATCGTGACAACAAACAAAAAATGTTATGATTGATTATATTTAATAAAATTTTGTCATAACATTTATTCTTCACCGAAAATCATGTTTTCAATTTCACCAAAATGTTCATATTCTCCTTTATTTTTATCCATCATTATTTCTTCTTCTTCCTCTTCTTCTCCTTCTTCTTCTCCTCCTCCTCCTCCTCCTCCTCCGTCTCCACCTCCTCCTCCAAATATTTCTTGACTTTCACGTTCACTTACACGTGATGATTCCGGTTTATTTTGTAGGGAATTTTCAAATGTAACAAAATATTTAATTGCAAATGAAACAATGTCGGAGGGTTTCATCAAAATTGCATATTCAACAAATACGTAAATAATTCTTTTTAATTTTTCATTTTGACTAATGTAAGATCTTGCTTTTATTGCAGTTTCATCCTAAACAAAAAATTTAATTTTTTAATATTTCTTGAAATCAAAACAAAAAAAAAAAAAAAAGGAAGGAAGGAAGAAACAGAAATCAACAGAAAATTATTTAATACCACTTTGTCAAGATACTTTGAATATAATTGTACATCTTTATGCCAATGTTTTTCAAGTCCCGGATACCCGGATGAATAGGAATTTGTTAAAATCAATGCATCCGGATCGACGTGTAGAAAAATTTTTGAATTAGACCAAAATAAATATATTATTTGACCCCATCTTGTCAATGCAAATGTCATTGTTATGTTATATTTTTTATGATTTGTTATATTTCTATAAACTATTAAAACTTGCATTTTTTTACCGTTGACAACTTGTTCGCTTAGTTTCGATACCTAAAGAAAAAAAATTAAAAAATTTAATTTATATATATTTAAAATAATTAATTATATTGAAATCACTAAAAAACATACATAATAATTTTTACATTTTTTCCCATTTGATAAAATTGTTTTTAAACATAAAATTCCTTCGTAACCTTTAACAGCTAATATCCTTAATAAAAGTGCGTTCGAACTTTCTCCAATCAATCCCTTAAAATACAAAAAAAAAACTCTTCAACATTTTTTAAAGTTTTTAACCATTTTTAAATTTAATAGATAGATATATATATATATTAAACTTACGACTGCTTCCAAAAATGGTATGGATGTTTTTGTTTTATGTTGTACATTGCAAATATTTGTCGTTACTGAAAGATAATATTTAGTTTGTTCTCTTAATAGAAACATGTATCTTTCATGTTTACCAGATTCAGGTAAATCAGAACATCTGAATTGATTTAAAAAATTTTATTATCGTTGAAATATATTCTGTAAATTATAAATCATTGTTAAAATAAATAAATTTATTATCTTACTCGTAACGTATTTCTTCTAACGTTTTTAATTTTGTTGTAACCGTTCCCGTGACAATGGATTCGGATAATTTTCCATTTATGTAAGCACGATTTGAAATGTGAACGTATAATATTTTTAAATTACTTTTTCTCATTTCTTCTTTTTCTATTTTCAATGAAAAACGACCGATTCTTTTTCCATCCATATCGAATACGTATAGTTTTTCGGTAAATAAAAGTGGTTCGACCAATACATCATCTAAAAAAAAAAAAAAAAATTTTTTTTATTTCGTCAAATATTTTAAACTTTGTATTGTTAATAATAATTTTTTTTTACCGATTCCTGTTAAACGTTTTGTTTCTCCATACGATGAAAGTTTGTATTTTTGAAGAACCATTATTTTACTATGGTATTGTTGTTAGTTTCGATAAGTTCTCGTTTTTAACTAATGTCTAATTTCAAACTTACTTAAAGATAAAATTTTATATTACTACTTGTTAGACAATGAATAAAATTCACATGTTTTTATTAAAATAATTATTTTTTTTAATTATTAATTTTTGTAAATATCAAGATGGAATATTTTGAGTGTTAACGCCAAAAATTTTGACGCAAAACGTGAAAACGAATTTTGGCGACAATTTTCCCTTTATTTACAATGTGTGCCGATTTTGTATTTTAAGTATCTATATTAAATTTAACATTAGATATAGTATTTTACATATATATCATATTTGATATTATATTAGTATATTATACTGACGTACGTTTACTCGTATATCAATGTCTAATTTAAAGTAAATAGTTTACACAAAGATGTACTTTAAGTGATCAATGTGCTCTACATGCAATTTAATTTCCATTATTTGAACAAGTAATAATGAAATTAAAGTATGTTTAATATAGTATTATTAAATAAGTTTTATTTGAGAAAGACTCTTATAAATTCATTATTTATGTGTTTTTCTTCTCTTTTTCAGACCGTATCAACATCATTTGATCCCATTTACTTCTCTTTTAAAAGGATTACCAAAACATTGCAGTAGTGATGTCAAGTCAGCATCGATAAACATACCTAAAAGAATAGAACGTGAACCGACAGATATACTAAAAGTATTCATACAAATAATAAATTTTTTTCATATTTTTAATAGAATTAAGTAAATTTTTTTTTTTTTTTTTTATTTTCAGGCCTTGTCTTTAACTGTTAAAAGAGATGATACTTCTTTCCATTACAAATATCCCGATGATCCATACTTTTATTATAATTCTAACAGAATTAGAAGAATTGCTGCTTTATCTCTAGAATCTGGTAGAAAAGCTGCTCAATGGATTATTAATGAACATTATGGATTGTTTAAAAATTCTCTGACAGGTGTTGGTCTCAAGGTAATGAGTTAAAAGAGTGTAAAGTAGTTAACTTGATTCTCGTAATTGATTAAAATTTTTTTATAAAAATAATTTTAGGGTTTTCAAATTAGGCCTGAGAATAATAATTATTCGAAGGTAATTTCAGAAGAAAAATTGTTAAATGCTATTAATGAAAGAAATGTTTCGGGAGCTATAAAAATATATGAAAAATTAACTGAAACTCAAGGTATGTGTAAATATCTTGATAAGATACAACATCATTTTTCTAGTTATTAGAAGTCTATGAATTAAAAATAAATTTTATTAAAATTTTTAGAAATTTCACAGAAAACAAAGCAATTATTATTAGAACTCTTGTGCTTTTTTAATTGTCAAGAAAAGGAAAAATTTGTTAATAGAGAAGAACCTTGGTTTCAAGGAGAAAAAAAATTAAGTTTTAAAACTTGGATGTAAGTCTTTTTCACTATTATTATTATGATTTGACGAAAAAACGAAGAAAAAAAAATTGTAAAAAATTTTATTAAATTATTAGAGATGATGGACTTGCTGAAAAAATATATAACAGCTTAGACCCGAATTGTCCATTGGCCACATCGACAATAATTCAAGGTATGTTAAAATATGGCCAAATCAATAAAGCTATTGATATATTTAACACTGCAAGAAGTAAAAATATGATTTTATCAGTTGGAGTATACAATAATATAATATTAAACGTAGCCAACATTTCCGATTCAGAAAATTGGAATTATATACTTGTAAGTAATGGTACAAAAAGTATTTTATTCGATACAATTTTTTAAATTTAATATAACACTAACATTTTCTTATAGAATTTATTAAAAGAAATGAACATGAATAAAATAATGCCAAATTTAACAACTTTAAACAACGTGTTAGAGATATTAGTGAGAGAAAGACGTTTGAAAAATAGATTTGAAATTGTAATGAAAGTCATAAGCGAATTTGAAAAATTGGGTATCACACCATCCCTTGGAACATATTATTATTTGATACACAGTAAATGTTATAGTCATAATAGGAAATCAACGGAAACGCGTACATTTATAAAAAACATATTACAAAATTTAATAAGAAAAAAATTATCGTTGAATCATTCAAGCGATTTTTATTTTTTTCCCAAAACAATGAATATTTTATCAACGGTCATTAACGATTCACATTTAGCTCACATGTTACACGGTTTGCTATTAAATCACGATAACGTTAAATTCATATCAAATAATTTGGACGAATTACGTTATTAGTAAGTCGAAATAAATAAATAAATATGATAAATATTCGACGAATATATATATTTTAATATAATTTAATCACATTCACAGCAAAGATTATTTACAAGTATCGTTTCAAAACGATGTGATAGAAGACGCCATGAATTTGTATCGGAAAATTGTACCGACGACTTACGTGCCGGAAAAACAAGGATTCGAAGTGAGTTTTTGAATGGGGGAAAACCATTAAAATTTAATATAAGAAAATATATATATGTAATTATTTTCGTTGTAGGACATATTGAAAATAATTTGCGATAATGAAACATTTGAATTTTTACCAATTGTTTATAACGATGCGAAAAAAGCATCTTTCGACATGGCTTTCGAAATTGGATTGGAATTATTGCACACGATTGATTTTTACACAGAAGATAAAAAAGAACTCGGAGAAGTTTTACGCGAAATATCTGATAAAATATATTATTTATTAACTTCAAATAATACAGATAAAAATAAATGGTAAAAACGAATTATTGTGTGTTTGTTTGTTAAAAAAGAAGAATGATTATGTTATATTTAATTTTTTTTTTTTTTGTGTGATTTTAAAGGCCGAACGAAAGGATTTTATCAAATTTATTAAAATGTTATGTTAAATTTAACGATTTGGAAAAGGTTTCCATGATGAAAAAAATTTTATCGGAAAATTCTTTGCAAGCAACCGAAGACAGTCTTGAAATTTTATGTCAATTTTTTATTTCCAAAGGAAAACATATGGAAACTATGGTATCTGTTTGTTTGTTTCTTTGTTTGTTTTCAATTTAAAAAAAAAAATGAGTCTTGCCTAATAATATCTTTTAAATTTTTCAGGATACCTTAAAAGAATTGAAGAGGATGACGAGAAAAAATAATAATAATAATTTAAAAATTCTCATGGAAAATGCTAGAAACGAATTAAAAGATTTGTTAAATAAAACGGATTTGAATTGGATTGATAAGAGTTTAAAAGATATTGAAAAAAATCAAAAGGAAACAATAAAATGAAATAAATGGGGATCTCCTGTTTGTTTAATTGTTTGTTTGTCTGTTTGTTTTTAAATAGTAAAAAATAAATAAAAATTTATTAAGTTATGATTTTATTTATTTATTTAAAATTTATTTATTTATTTTTTTCTGCTTAAAATTAACATATTGCTACAAATTACATTTATTAATAATCATCATCATTTATTTATTTATTTTATAATTATAATTATCATTATTATTATTATTATTATTATTATTTTTAATAACGGTTACTAATAAATTATGCTTTATTTGAAATTAATCAAATAAAAAATACAAAATAAATAAAAAAATAAATAATAAATAAAAATTTTTCTTTTTTAATTAAATTATTATTGAGCATTATTAAAAATTTTATTTTTAGCTGACGTTATTTATTTTATTTATTTATTTATTCATTCCATTTTAAATAATTATTTATTAATAAATAAATAAATAAATAAAAAAGAAAGAAAGAAAATCGGACTACTTTATCGAGCTTTTAGAAAAAAAAATAAATAAAAAAAATTTTTTTTTTATGTGAGAAATAAAAATTTTATCGTTTAAATCCTTTTATTATTATTATCATCATCATTATTATTATTATTATTATTATTATTATTAAAATCATTTTTCTAAAATTTACTACCGAATGTGTATAGAAAAAAAGGAAAAAAATTTTTTATTTTTTAAAGCTCGGATTTAAATTAGAAAAAAAAAGTTGAAAATAGGTTTTAATGGTGTTTCTCTTTATTATTATTATTATTATTATTATTATTATTATTATTATTATTATTATTATTAAAATGAAAAGATCGTTAATTTTTTTTTTTTTATTGGAATAATAATATTCGTTATCATTTCGCGCGCTCGCCCCCCCATTTTGGTCGTATTGCTCATATTAATTACATCTAAATTTAAAAAAAAAAAAGAAAAAAAAAATTTCTACTTACATATCAAAACCCTGAGTATTTTCGACAAAATAATAATAATAATAATAATAATAATAATAATAATAATAAACTAAAAAAAAACAACACCCATGATATGTTTTAGTTGGAATATCCTGAATATATATTTATATATATTTTACCAATAAGGTAAACACCATATTTTATTTATTTATTTTATTTATAACGGAAAAAAAAAATTTTCTTACAATATATATATTTATTTATTAATAACTTTTTTTTGTTTTTTTTTTGTTTCATTCTTATTCGTTTTATTTCAATCATTATTAATATTAATTCACATAAACATATTGTTTATTATTATTAATAATTCGACGGAGTATTTTTTTATATATTTTTTTTTGAAAAAATTCGTTTTATTATTATTTTAACGTCTTTTAAACATCATTTTTAGACCGTTAAATAATTGAATTCGATTGTAACGGTTAATAAAATGGCGGGTTCCGCCATAATTTTTTTTATGAGTGACGTCATCGATTTTCATGAGGTTTTTAATTTTTTTTTTTTTTTTAAATAAATAAATTTTGTATTAATAATCCAAATAAAAAATAAAAAAAAATGTCTGGAATTGATTTTTATTTATTTATTTTATTTCAATAAAAGGTTTTGATGTGAGCGTTTTTTTTTTGTTTATTTAAACGTACCATTCTTTAACATCTTTTTGTTTTCTTGAATTTTTACCATTTCCGTTTTTAAGATTTCCATTTTGTTCAAATTGACCACTCGATGCTGCCGGTATTAAAGCTGCATTTGGCCCCTGAGATTGTTGATAACATTTACTTTCTTCTGCTTTATACGTTGTTGAATTTTTGTGCTTGAATCGAAGTATTATTAATATAATCAATATGACGGCAATCATGGTACCCGCAATTATACCGATGACCAGCGCCGTATTCTCAGCCGATTCGGATGATATACGATCTCGTTTTTTATAAAATGGCGGCCTGGATGATGCCCACGGTGGTATAGGTTGAGGGGGTTCTAAATATTCAGTCGTAGTTATGGTTGACGTCGTTGTCCAAGGTATGGTTACTATTTTAAACGTTGTTTTCGGTGTTGTTGTCGAAGTTAAGTGTGTCGTCGAAGACGTTGTTTCCGATAATTGGGAACTTGTATCTCCTGTCGTGCTGGTGTCTCGCGTCGTTTCTTCAACAATTATAGTCGATATAAAAGTCGAACCTGAAATTTAATCGATTTTTTTAATCGTATGATCCTGTATTTTATAATTAGGTTTGAAAGAAATCGACGTGAATTTACCACGAAATGATTCACTGGATGAATCTTCGGTCGTCAGTTCTCCATTACCCGACCCCACAAAACAATCTTCGTCGTCACAAGGTTTACTGTTAGATAATTCATTGAGTTTTTTATTTGCGATTGATTTCGTTGTGCTCGGGGGTCTAGTGGGAGGAACGTAAACGGGAGTTATTAAATCATCCCCTGATCCTGTATCGAAAACGGGTAAACATTGATCTTCGTCGTCGTTTTGACATCCGGATCCGGCTCCCGAATAAACCAAATCATCCATCAAACCCGGTAAGTTAGATGCCGGAGTCTAAAAATAAAACATTTTCAAATAATAATAATAATAACTGGAAAAATTTAAAATAAAAAACTTTTTATAAATTAATTACTTGTTGCATCGTTGGGGGTGGAACATGAATTCTATTTTTTATGCTACTCATGAGTTGAACTTCTCCTATTGTTGAAATACGTGAATCTTTTTCCGCAGCCAAATCCAAAATTCTTTGACCGTTAAAAACTAAACCGGAAACGACACCTGTAAACGGTCTTTCAATCGTGTGACTCCCCGATTCCCATTTACCACCGATGAGAACTTTTCCTTGAGTGTTAAATACCGATAATTGAGGTCCCCCTGGATTATATGTTTGTATGTTGTAATCGTCAACTTGCAACGTTGCATTTGGACCTGATCTCGTGAAACGTATCACGTGATATAAATCATCATCAACTTTAACTCCTGTTTCGCTAATTGGATTTTCATGAGTTCCCAAATAATATAAAACTAAAATATTTCCATCAACCTTAAAACAAATGGTATTATTATTAATCATTATTATTATTATCTATGGTAATTTTCTACAATTTTTCTAATTTATAATTTACAATTTCCATTTGTATGTAATCGCTCGTCGTTGCACTTTCGATCTATCAAACAGCATTATCCTTTGAAGTATATCTAAGTAAACGTCGGATTTGTTCTATTGACGATTTCCGGTATAAACCAATCATTCCCCGACTGACCAAATTCGTAAGAAGTCGATTCTAAAATAACATTTTAAACGATCGATCGTCAATAAATATTTATTAAAAATATTTTATTATCGTGACAAAAAAAAAAAAAAGAAAATTTATACCATCTTTACACGAGGGTCCGGTAAAAGTCGTCGTTTCGCAATCGCATTCATATGAATTCCACTGTTGTACGCAAACCCCTCGATTTTCACAAACAGTGTTGTCACATTTCGTACCCATTTCTTTAAAAAAGAAAAATTAAATTTATTTAAAATGTTTTTTTTTTTTTTTTCGCCATTTTTGTAAAATAAACGATATAAAACGTTCGTTCGTTCGTTCACCTTCGCAGCCTTTTATAACCAAATTGCTCGGTATGAGTGCTTCGACTAAAATATTTGGTGATTCTCCATTAAGATCTAAACTTCCTAAACAACCTTCGTATCCATGTTTGGATTGTATTTGTTTGGGTAAATTTTTATATGCATCTTTTCTAACTCCTCCTAAAAATCCACCCATTTTTTGTAAATAAAAAATTATAATTGAATAATAACATAACATATATATATTTCATAAAAACCTAAATAAAGAAGATTATTTAAATCTAAATCTTCGTGATGTCCCGAATTTGTTATTATAACAAACGTATCGTCCACTTGAAGAGTGTGTTGTTTTATTCTTGGTCTACTTATACCAACAGAATGCCATTTATTATCATTTAAATTTGATTTTGCATTATCTCTTATCTTAATAGTTTTATCACCCAAATTAAATACGTAATGAATGTGACCGTTAACCATTTCCACGGCAATAAAATCATGTTCTTTTCCTCCGTTGTATAAAATCAAACCGTTGAGTTCTCTCGTTTTAAACTAGAAAGAAAATTTATATAATTTATATTTTGGAAAATGATCGAGAGAAAGAGAGAGAAAGATGGACACTCACCTGGAAAAATATATTTGTAGCTGAATAAGCTTTCAATGTTGGTAAACCTATATAAGAATGTTTTGATTTAAATGTCATAGTTCGATACGGAGCCGAATCGTATCTTTTTAAAAATTTTGCCGTTACGTTAACGTTCGGATAAGCTCTCGCTTGATTTATCCTATATGGAATGTTTAATTTTTCCAACCATGGAAAACCGTTAAAAGTAAATTGTTGTATGACGCCACCGAATCCTTCGACTTTATGTGCTTGATTTAATATGAGAGGATAACAACCCAAATAAAGTTTGTCGTATTCCAAAATGCTTTCCTTGTCTAAATCTTTTTCGGCTGCGTTTTTTCCAAAATAAAATAAATTGACTTGAGTAATTTTATCATTATAAAAAAAAATCATTTGAACAAGAAATTTACCTCTGATTATTGGATAATTATCTAATTTCAAATAAAAAAAATTTCCTCTCCTGCTAAATTTAATCAAATGCCATGTATAATCTTGTAAATTTTGCCCCGTCGAAATAGTCTACGAAATAAATAAATAAATAATAATAATAATAATTTATTATAAACAACGGATTTTGTAAGTAATAAAATGAAAATAACCTTTTCAAGGCCTCCGATTCGAAACGACATTTTTAATTTTCCACCTTGTATTGATAATTCTAATTTATCACCGAAATGATCGTTATTCGTGCTAAAAATCATTCCGTCTTTTTTATACGTTTTAAATCTTATAATTAAATCTTCGGCTTGAGTTTTAGTTCCGGCCGGTAAACCGATGGAAATGTATTGGCTACCGTTAAAAGAAGCCGTTGCAGCTTCTTTACCGCAAATCGGACCCCCGTGATTGGTTGCCGTACAATCGCACGTGAATCGATTCCATCCATCCTTACAAACGCCACCGTTTAAACAAGGCTGTGAATCACATTGTCCGGATTGCACGTGACACGAAGCCTTGATGGAAGCTGCAAAGAAAAAAAAATCGTCGGATTTTCAACATTCGATAAAGATGGCGTTTCTCGCGATTGGGAAAGTGAGATATTACTTGTATCTTGTTGTCTTGCATAACCGGCAATATCAATGGCGTTACCATTGACAATAAGATCTCTCATGCATCCAACAAAACCCAAATGTAAAACTCCCGTCCAAAAATAAACGGGAAGATCGTAATTTGCCAAAGGATTACCGATACCACCGAGATAAAGACCACCATCGAGTTCCAACAGTGTAGAATCCCCTAAAAATTTTTTTTTTTTTTAAATAAAAATTTATACAAAAACAAAAAGGAGGGGGGAAGGTATAAATTCGAACCTGGAGTTATAAAATCAGCTATCATATCATCGACTGATGCTCGTCCTTCTCTACCATTTCTTCTTAAATTAACTTCGTGCCAAGCACCATCATTTACTCTTCTGGTAGTTATTCTAACTTTTGTATGACCCGATCCAAGATCCAAATGTAAAAATATTTGACCTTCGATCATTTCGAAACCGAAAAAATCAGGCTGAAACAAACAAACAAATTTAATTTTTTTTTTTTTTTTCGGGATAAAAGGGGAACAAAAAAGGGGAAAAATCTTTTTGGTATAAACTTACGTGTACCGAACCGGAACCTTTGCTAAACATGAACAGTGCCGTATCTTCAACAGTTCTAAATTTAAAAGCGATCGTTCCTGATTTTTTACCTTCCCAATTTGGTAGTACCTGAAATTAATAATCGTATAAAATAAATATTAAATAATAATAATAATTTTTTTATTTTTATTTTCGACGTTTAATAAAATCTCTTCATTTACTTTTCGAAATTTTTTTTTTTATTTATTATTTTTACTCACCAGTTAATAATTAATAATAATAATAATAATAATAAAATATGTGTTATTACTATTTAATTGTTGTAAATAATTTGTTATTATTTTTTATTGTGCCATATAAATAATAATAATAATAATTTTTTTGTTTGTTCGTGTCAGCTAAAACATATTATAATTACTCTAAAAGTGTTTTTTTTTTTTTTTTTTTAATCTGTTTTTAAACGCATTCAGTGATTGATAATAATAATAATTGTTTTATTATTATTTTTTTAATTAATTAATTAATTAATTATAATAAAAATTGTCTTCTTTTTTTTTAATAAATAAAAAAATTATTATGCATTATGTAAAATCATGCAAAAAAAAAAAAAAAAAACTTTTTCGTGTGATCCTTTTTTTTTCGATTAATAATTATTATTATGTTTTGTTGTGTTTATTTATTTATTTTTTTTTAAATTCCTAATAATAATAATGATAATAATGATAATATTAGGGAAAACAGGGGAAAATAAACGCGTGTGTGTGTGTGTGTGTACGTGTGTGTGTTTTCGTGAAATGTTGTGTTCATCTTACATAAAGCTGTGAATTGGATTGTGCAATAATAAAAACCACATGATTTATAGTGATTTATTAATAATAATAATAATAATAATAATAATAATAACTTCCTGTGAATCCTTTCTAAGCCTACTTGGTATCGTGAATAAAAAGCAAATCAGGATGAGTGTTTGTGTGTGTACACGTGTATGTGTTTGTTATTCTTTCCCTCTTATTAAAGGAAAAATAATGCAAATAATTTATTTATGTGTAAATAAAATAATTAAAGTGCTTTTTTTACTACTCTAAATAACGCGGGGGGGGGGTTTCCGCCATTTTTTTATTTGCTTCCTTCATTAACCTCCCCGTGTTTGTTTTGATTTTTTTTTTTTTTAAATTGTGACGTTTTAAAATTTTTATTAATTAGCTCCATTCTTATTTATTTATTAATAGTTAATAAATTGTGTGCCAGAATGTAGCTAAAAAAAAAAAAAAAAAAAGAAGCAAAAATTTTTTTTTTTTTAATAACCGCTCATTATATCTACAATTATGTGCTTAAGGGTTTTGATTGTTTTAAATGCGGAATTAAAATTTTTATATTCAACTCAATATTATTATCATTATCATCAGCGACGGTTTCGTAAAACGATCGTTAATAATAATAATAATAATAAATTTTAATTCCGCAAAAAATTGTTTCTTGGTGTGTGTGTGTCAATTAATGTATTACAGCATATTATAATTGTTTGTTACTGAGGAAAAAGAAAGAAAGAAAGAAAGAGAGAAAGAGTGTGTGTGTGTGTGTGTGTGTGAGAGAGAGAGAGAGTGAGAGAGAGAGAAGTCTTACCAAATAGCTGTCACGGGTGGTAAATGTTACCAAACCCCAAGTAGGCAAAGAAGGTGCCTATATGAGAAGCATTAATAAATATAAAATTTACATTTTAATAACTAACTCACGGGTCTATGGATGAATTTTTATTTATTTTTTTTTAATAAATAAAAAATTGTTTATAATAAATTAAATTTTTTTTTTGTATTTGTTATGATAATCGTATTATTATTATTATTATAATCAATGTATTTAAATGTCAAAAAAATTTTTTTTTTGGTTTTAATAAAATGTTTTCGGTTTTTTTTTTCGTGTTTTTTTTTTTTTTTTAAATGTGAATTAATTAATTACTGGTTGTAATAAATAATAATGATAATAATAATAATAATAATAATAATAATAATAGTATAATTATAATTTATTTAATGTTTTTTTTTTTTTTTAGCTGTTAATAAATAGTATGCAAAGGAAAATTCGTATATCGTTTTACTAAATCGTTTTTTTTATTTAAAACCTGAATTTTAAGGTTTTGTACGAGGATTGGTAGTAGTAGTAGTAGTAGTAGTAGTAGTTTGATGTAATAGTATTTGTTTGTTAGTAAAGATTAAAATAGAAATGATGACGTTTATTTAATTTTTTTTCGTACATTACTAAATTGTAAAAGTAAAGAAAATTGTTAAGACTTAATAGAAAAGCATTAAATAATAATAATAATAATAATAATAATAATAATTGTAAGCGAATTATTACTCATTTATTTATTTATATATATATATTTACTTTTAATTAAATTTATATAGCATTTAAAAATACCCGTTAAAAAAAAAAAAACAAGCTAATTAAATAATTTTTATCATCAAATTTTTTAATAATCTACGATAAAATTATTTAAATATTATTTATAATAAATTTAAATCGAATCGATATTTAAGAACAAAACAAAAAGGGGGGAAAAAAAAAATATTACTTACCAAATGTGAATTTTTATCCAAAAATTGTATCGGATCTTCTAATCTTCTTTCGTGACATTTAAATTCAATATTACCCGAAACGGTTAAAAATTTATTTCCGGTTCTACCCAAATCAATGAGATTTATTTGTAACGTGTCGGCAATGAATTCAACCTATGTAGAGAGAGAGAGAGAGATTTAAATAAATATAAATAAATCATAAAAACTATTATTATTATTATTATTGAAAAGAAAAAATTTTTTACTTTTCTTAGGCACCCTGTGAAATTATTAGGAACAGAAGTACCGGGTAACGTTTGGGATGCTGGACTTCCACCAACATAAACTTGACTAGAATATAACATGCTAAAATGTCCGTGAAGATGAGAATGATCAGAATATGTATCATCTACCGTTAATGTTAACTAATAAATAAAATAAAATTTAAATCAATTGGGAAAATTGGGAAAATTTTCACACATAAAATTTTCTTTTAAATTCTTACTCGACAAAAGCTCGTTCCTATGTACGGAATTATCTTAAAAAGAAAGAAAAGTACATTAGAATAAACATATTCGGATAATCATTTTAAAGAAAAAAGGGGAACCTTTAAAAACTTACTAATTGAACCTTACGATGCACTGATATGCTGTGCCATTGATTATCATCGAATCTAATTTTATGGGGTCTTATATTCATTTCTAATTTTTCATCCCCCATACCCATTTGTAAAACGATACCTCCCTGTTTTAAAGCTATGTTCAAATATGATTCTCCGTGACCTTTAAAACAAACGTAAATTGTTTAAAATAAAGTCAAAACCTTCAAAGAAAAAGGAGAAGGATGTAGGAGGAGTACCTGTAAAGTATAAAAATCCATTTGGATACCTCGTTTTAAAGCTAAAAAAAATAACATCTTGACTGCTTACAATAGGAACTCCACCCGTTGCATTTAAATCATATGAAAAAAATTCAGAACCTAAAAATGTTGCTTCAGACGGGGATTTCCCTACGAGAAACAAAAAAAAAAAAAACAAATTTAATCAAATAATTATATATATATTAAAACTAATTAATTTTAATTAATTACCTTTTTCGCAAAAAGTACCCTCGTAATCATTATTTCGACATTCGCAAATCGGTCCAGTATCGGTTGATATGCAAATCCCCTCATGTTGACAGGGATCATATTCTTCGCAGGCATCCGTTGCATTTTTCCGGGCACCCTAAAAAAAAAAATTTTTTTATTTTTATATTATTTTAACTTTATTTTAAATAAATTTTTTTTTTTTTTTTTTTTCGATTTACTTACTTTAAATTTTCCTCCTTTCGTTTTCGAACAATGAGATCCCGAACACTAAAAAATTATTTTTTTTTTTTTTAAATAACGACTTCCATTACAGATTATAATAAAAAATAATAATAATAAATTTTTTTTTTTTTGTTACCTTGTAATTTTTTATTTTCATTTCTTGTCTTCTAGGTACGCTACTATGTTCGTCGGCATAAACGACATTTCTTATGGCTCCGACAAATCTCAATTCGAAAATAACACTCGGCAATGCGAGGAGAGTCAATTTAGAATTATAATATGGTGGCATACCACCGAAAAAAACATCAGAATTCGTTGCTATATTTCCAAAATAAAATTCTTTTCCACGTGACGTACCCATTATCATGGATCTATCGACTTCTAATGATGTTCTTTCGACCATTCTTTTCACTCGTACCTTGTGCCAGTGACCATCGTTTAAATTTTCACCTATGGCCATTATTTTAGCACCACCTCCAAGATTAAATCTTATCCTGCATGCACCCTCGACGAGTTTTATTTCTACAAAATCATAGGTTCCACCATCGTCGGTATAAAGTAACAAACCGTTGGGTTGATTCGTTTTAAATTCGAATTCTAACGTCCCATTTAAACCCGGATTCCATTTTTTAAATTGGGCATAAGATGATGGGGAGCCATCCAAAACGAAGGATTGACTCTCGCGTAGAAAAATAACAGCGAGTATAAGAAAAAATAACATGTCGAAGATTTTATTATCCTAGTGTAACCATTTTTATTAATCAGCATTTAATCCAAGTGTTAATGAAGAAATCGAATTGAAAAAAAATTTTTTAAATTTAATGAATCGATGATGAATAATTTTGTATTTTTTTTTATAAAGGGTATATAATTATTTATTTCCATAACGTTAAGTCAATAATAATAATAATAATACCCTGTCGTCGTCGTCGTCATCATCATTTTATTTATCCCATAAAACACTCTGTTGAAAATAATAATTTTATTTATTGTTCATTTTTTTTTTTTTTTTCGAAATAATGTCTATCATTCATTAATTAAATTTTTTTCACTTTAATTTAAAAAAAAAGAAAACGTTTTTTTTTTTACTTGTATAATAGTTTTCTTTTATAATATATCATATTTAATATAATATATCATATATAATATTTTATTTTAAAAAATGTTTATTTTCCCACATGGAATTTTTCATCGATAAATTACAATAAAATTTTATTAATTAACATTTTTGTTAAAATGTTTTTCTTTTATTCAACAAATTTTATTCGTATAATATTCGATCATTATATTATACTATTATTAATTATCACGAAATAATAATACTAAAATAATAATAAAATAAAGAACAATTAATAATAATAATAATGGGACACAAATGAATTTTGTTACGTATAAAAAAAGGTTCAACAACCTTAAATATTCAATTGGTAGTAATTTTAATGAAAAAGGTTAATAACATGATAAGATAATTATTATTACGTTCATTTTCTTTTATTTTATTTTCAGGTAGTGTAAAAAAAAAAAAAGAAATTAATTACAGGTAATAACCTTTTTTTCCATTTTGTATATAATTAACAAATATTTGACGTAATAATAAATAAATATTTCTATGTAAAAAAAAGTTATTTTTTGAAAATTTATTTAAGGTACACATCTTTTGTATTGATAAGACATTGCCCTGTTCCTCCCCCCTCCTTTCCCTCCCCCTCCTTTCCCTCCCCCCCCTCGCTTAATTTATTTTAATCTTTTATTATTAAAAGTATTCATAATTTTTTTTTTCCAATAAATTTTTAACAAAATTTTAATTGATTCACGTAGTAGTAATTGTTGTTGTTGTTTTAATATTGCGCGTCGAACGACAAAATTTTTTTTAAACGGATCAATTTTTAGTGACCTCCCCCCTCCCCCTCCCCCTCTTTCCCCCATCGGCTCAAACCCCCCCGCGGTTTTTATCAAATTCAAATTATTATCATCATCGCCATGTATTATTTTTTAAAATTTCATCGAATAAAATAAATCTTATCATCGAATATCTATATATAACATTACATTATCATTATTATTATTATTATTAAACGTATAAATACGTTTGATTTTACGTTTCCGACAAATTTCCCTTTTTTTTTTTTTTTTTCGTGTGTTTTAAAAAATGTTTAATGATTTACTTTATGGAGAAAAAAAAAATATATTTTTACATTCTAATGTTTCAAAAAAGGTTTTGAAACAATTTAATCATCATTTACGTCATCATTACGTAATAAATAAACTGTTAAAATTCAAATAATGAAAAATGCATTTATTATTATTATTATTATTATCAATAATGGGGGGGTTGCAATAATAAAAAAAAAAAAAATCATTTAAAATAGTTTAAATTAGGTCATCGATTTTAAAAAAAAAAAAAAAAAAGAAAGATAAATAGAAGAATTTATTCCCTTACTTGTTTTTAAACCTTTTTAAATTTATTATTAAAGGTAAAATCTTAATTAATTTACAAGAAACGCCCTTTTTCTATGTAAAAAAAAATTAATATTTTTTTAACGCGAGGTTTTTTTTTTTTTTCATTACGTTTTTAACGTATTATTTTTACTCGATATCAATATTAAATGTAATTTATTTTAAAGGGTAAAAATATTATTTGAGAAAACGAAAAAGAAAAAAGAAAAAAAATTTTGTAAAAAAAAATTAAATCGAATGCCTACTGCAGTGATGAGTAGATTTCTTCCATGTTGAAATTTTCACTTTTATCATCATCCTATTAAACCTTTTCATTTACTTTATAATTATTTTGTCGTTTTTAAAATCATATCATTTATAAAATAAATACACTTATACCTTATATTTAAATAACAAACAATTCACACGAAATAAATATTAATAATAATAAAATAATAACGTTAAATAGTCAAAATGACGGAGATGTAAAATCGATTTCCCGTAATCTTCTATCTTACAATACATTAAAAAAAAAAAAAAATTTTCCCTCTCGAACGCCACCTTCGAGTTTTTTATGTTTTTTATTTTTACCGCTAAGAGCGCTCTATTCGTTTTTTATTTTTTTACTTTCAAAATTAATTTTTTTAATTTATTTTATGTAAAATTTAAAATTTTTTTATTAATTGTATCATAGTGATGTATTAATAAATAAAAATAAGGTCGTACATCGTAAATCTAAAACAAGGTAAAAGAAATTTTCGTTTCATGTATTCTTGTAGATATTTATAATAAAGAAATCTTAGGAGGGAAAAAAAATGGTTGATTTACATTATAGACTATACAAGACAAACTTGAAAGTTTTGATGTATAATTAAAATCTTATATTTCATTCATAAGATTTTTTAATAAAAAGAAAAAAGAAAAAAGAAAATTCATTAACAAGAGACCATTACTTAAAATCATTAAACGGTTAGTAATTATAAAAAGTAAAAAATTCAATGTAAAAATTACACTTTTTTTTTTTTTATTAATTTAATTTAATTTATTTTTAATTAAATTTCTTTTCAGTGTTTTAATATTTTCAAATCTATCATTTGATGTTAATTTATAATAATAACAACGAGCATTATCTGTTTCGTGAGTGAATAAATTATCATCATCACATTTGCAATTTGACAAATGACAATAATTACATGATTTGTAATTTTTCTCATCGATTTTTTTCATTTGACGAGTTTGAATATTTTCACATTTTTTTTTATACTTTTCATGATATATTCTTTCGAATATAAGAAGTCCAATCGATAATAAAAGTCCTAGAAAAAGAAGCGTGAATATTTGAAAAGCATCTTGTATATCAACTTCAACTTCTTTATACTGAGATGATTGGTGACGTTTATATTGGAAATATTTTTGAATATTATCAATTATTCCGGTCGTGAAAAGCCTTTGTAATCTTTTAATAAAGTAAATTAACATTAGAAAAAATTTTTTTTTTTAAGAAATAAATTATTTAAATAACTCACTTGAAATTAATCAATCCGCTATAGGGAGAATCTTTTAAAAATGCCAACGATTGATAAACCGGTGAAAGAGGTTTTGAAAATGTTGTCACGTGACAACACGAATGCAACGAACTGTGTTCCAAATGCATTTTAACGATTGCTTCAACGCCAAAAAATGCCTCGTATTTTGTTTCACAAAGACTTCGTTCCAAACCTTCTTTAACACTCAACACTCTATATTTATTTTTTCTTACTTTAGAATAAACAGATTTTTGCAAATCGTCAACCGATCTCTAATACCAACATAAAAAAACAAAATATTAATTAAATAATGTAAACGTTACACGTTTGAATAAAAAAAAAATCACCTTGAAATAACTTTGCTGTGCAGAATTTCTTATTATGTTAAGTTGATATTTTTCATTTTCTAAAAACTCCTTGAAATTTCTAAAAGGTTTCGTGGGAGTATGATGTGTCAACGAATAAATAAGCCAAGCAGAATATGAGGGTACGAGAACAGCCGAAAGAAGATATGATGTTAAAAAAATAATTTTACATCCTAAAGATTTAGGAATTATGTGATGACCTGTAAAAACAAGTAACAATTTCAAAAAAAAAAAAAAACAAAAATTTAATTTAAATATTTGATAGCAATCAATCAATCAATCAATCACCTTGTTGACATAAAGATTGAATCATGAAAAAAAACGATGAAGTAGGTGAAAAAAAATCATTTTTGTTTTTGTTTTTTTTTATGCAAAAACGATATGAAATGGTAAAAAATAATGTACCGGATAATATCCAAAGACAAACAGCCAACCATGTTCCTTTTGAAAATGGATTTAAAACTGCCGTCCATTTTAAATTACTACCAAGTGCACAAAAAAATACCTGATAACTATTTAAAAAAAAAAAAAAAACATTTTTTAATTATTAATTAACATTTATTAAATATTTATTTGTTTTGTTTTTACTTAGATATCAATACTGGTCTTGAAAATTTAAGAACCAAATATCTTTCATTATTCATTGTTATTTCTGATGAAATAACATCAAGTTCTCCTCTAACAATCATTCCAACCAAACCATTCCATGAACCATTTGATTTAAGTACTCCAGTTGCATTATCTATAGATCTAAATAATTTTTAATCGTTATTATTAATAATAATAATAATAATAAATAGCACTTACATAATAGTATATGAGTATCATTTTTCCATACTTTAATGGTTTTGTTGTACAGTTGATTTGTTTTTCCAATTCTTTCCATATCCTTGGAAAATAACCGTCCCAGGTATCATTAATAAATGTAGACATTGGCCAATTCTAAAAAAGAAAAAAAAAATTTCAAGTTAATTAAAGGGAAAATAACTTACAAACAAGTTGTTATTATTATTATTATTACTTACCTCTATCGAACCAACCCTCAAAAGTTTACCCTCCAAATCGTATCTTCTTGCATAAATATGATTTTTATTAAAATAAATATTATTATTTGAGGATGACCAAGAACCAAAATAATTTATTCTCAACGGATAATCATAATCGACTCTATAAATTTCATAAAGTTTTATTTTTTCCTTATCATTATCCATTTTTCCAACGATTATTTCTGCATTAAATGGCGTGTTAACATTTGAAAAAAATTTTTTTATTGGAGAATCAATTAAAATCATCCAAAAACCATAATCCATTGATAATTCATAACTTATCTAAAATAAAATGGTTGATTATCATCATCATCATCATCATTAACATTTAAAATAATAATAATTAATTTAAATACTTTTGAAAATTGATTTATTGATTTTTCACTTCCAATAACTAATATGATGGGTTTTAAACAATTTTCATCATTTTCCAAACGATAATTAAAATAATTTAAATAAAATTCGTATGTGTATATTCCGATCGTTTGTTCATATTGTAATATTTCCGTTAAATTTTTAACGATTTTAAATAATTGATATTTTTCATATTCCGTTTCATTTGATTTACCGCCATCGTGTATTATTTTTATACAACTCGATGGATAATATTTTATTAATGCCGAACTGAAATTTATTAATGTATTCGTATCGTATATTCCATAACTAAAATTTATTAATAACTGAAAAATAATATAAAACGACGCCATTTTCCACATCATCGCGATGACTCCTGATTTATGTACATGTTATAATTTTACTTTCCAACCTTTATATAATGAAAAAATTAATAATAATAATAATAATGATAAAGGTTAAATGGGGTTAAATTAACTTATGTACGAATCATAATATTAAAATTAATTATTTAAATTAATTATTTATTTATTATTATTGAATGATTTTTAAGTAAAATTTTCCTTTTCTTTTCTTTTGATTCTTCCACGTTTTATTTATTTGTTATAATAATAATAATAATAATAATAATAATAATAATAATAATAATAATGATGATGATGATGATGATGATGTTTCTTTTGTATTTTTTTTTATTATTTTTTTCCTCCCTTTCCCTCCCTCCCTCCCTCCCTTTCTCCCTCTCTCCCCTTTTTAGAAAAACTTGAATAACAAAAAATAAAATAAAAGAAAAGGTTGTTGTTTAACATCAAAACAAAAATAATAATAATAATAATAATAATAATAATAATAATAATAATAATAAATAATAATAATAATAGTAATAATAATAATGATGATGATATTTTTCGATTGATTTGATTATTTATTTAAATTTATACTTTAGGCATCAAAGTTTTTGAAATCAAAAACATTTTTTTTAATGGATTTGTTGATTTTACATAGAAAAAAAAAAAAATAATAATAATAATAATGACATGAATTTTTCCACCGAATAGAGTGATAATAAGTAGGAGAATTGGGGG